ACTGTCAGGGACCTCTCCAAAATACTGAAAAGCAATGATGTCAGTTTGAAGACTAAGTTGTGGTTGATTTAGACCATGGTCTTTTCAATCACTTGCCATGCATCTGAGAGCTGAACAATAAGGATGGCAGAAGAAGTCTTGATGCCTTTGAATTTTGATGTTGAAGAAGAGTACCGAATATCTCATGGACAGCCAAAAGGATGAACATGTATATTTTGGAGAAGGTACAGCCAGAGTGCTGCTTGGAGGAAAGGATAGAGAAGCTTTGTCTCTTTGGACAAGTTGCTAGGAAAGGCAATTCCTTGGGAAGGGAGATCATGTTTGGAAAAGTAGAGGGTCAAAAAAAGAGAGGAAGAACTCCAATGACATGGAGTGAGATGGTCACTGCAGCAATGTGCTCAAATGTATCATAGGTAGTGAGAATGGGAGAAGATAGGACAGGATTCAGATCTGTTGTTCATTTGATCACTATAAATCTTACTCAACTTGATGGCACCCAACAGCAACAACAACAACACAAAATAATTTTATTTAAAATATGTTTATATTTTATGTTTAATTCCTTCCAGAAAGCCACTGAGAACTTTGCTGCTGTAGGATCAGAAAGGAAGGAACAGAAGCAGGGCGAGCTTTTCTTCAGGTGAATTCTCACAGAGTGAAACTCCCAGCATCCCTGGGGCAGAAGCAGAGCAAGTTCCCTGCCATCCTGGGGGATTTGGTAGCCACAGAGAACTTTGCTACTGTGGGACCAGAAAGGAAGGAACAGAAATAGGTCAAATTCTCCTCAAGTTCCCTTTTGGGTGTGCTCTTGAGCCAGGGCAAACTTCCTAGCAGCCCCAGGAGAGAGGAGGCCAGGCTCATTTCCATCTTAGTGGGCTTCACAACCAAAGGGAACTTAGCTGTGGGATCAGAGAGAAAGGAACACAAGCACATGAGTTTTTCTCCAGTTCCTTTCAGTGGGCTCCCACACCACTGCATACATTCCAACTTAACTTCATAGTGTACTTCGCAGCTCCAGCAAATTTTGTCACAGGACCAGAGATGAAGGACCACAGGCAGGGTGACTTGCCCCCCCCCTTTCTTTTCTGTAATACTGAGTTGCCAACTGAAGCAAGTCTTTTCATGAGTCCAGGGTCCAGAGAGATATTCAGGTAGAATTGAGTGGCTCTTTCCTCATCTGGAACATTGAGCTGCTCAGCCAAAGTTCTCAGACCCAGGTCCTATTAGGGCCCCTAGGAAAGGAAAACCTCTATCACAGCAATGACACAGAAGAAGCAGACTACATCACGCCTTACACAAAACCAAAGCAAGGTAACATCTCAAAAAAAGTGATCAAAACACAGAATCAATGGATTTCCTGAAGTTGGAAAGTCTGATAAAACTGTCTGAAACAGAATTCCAAAGACCAATGGTCAAGTCTTTTCAATGGGAAAAAGAAAAAAAATCAAAGAATTATAGGAATCCACAAGCAAAAACCGAGAGGAACTAAAAAAAAAAAAACACACCACAAAAACCCAAACTGAACAACAATTCAAGACAATGCAGATAAACCCAATGAGGCATTAGAAACCCTAGAAAAGCAAGAAATAGAAATCCAGAATATTAGGACCAGTGTATCAGAAGATGTCAACATGTTAGAGGGACAAATGAGCAGAATTGAAGAGATGGAGTGCAGAATCAGCAAAATAGAAGATAAAGCTTTCAGCACTGATCTAGAGTAAAAAATCATAACCAAAAAGGAAGGAAAATGAAGAAGATATAATGTGAGACACCATTAAGAGGAATTACTAGTAGATGCCATCAAGTTGAGTATGACCCACAGCTACCCTATAACAATAGATCTGAACCCTGCCCCATCCTGTGCCAACCTCACAATCTCTGACACATTCAAACTTATTGCTGCAGTCACTGCATAAATCTACCAAGTTGAGGGTCTTCCTTTCTTTCATCTTCCCTCCACCTTTTCAAGCAGGATAAGCCTTCTCCAAGGAACAACCTTTCCTAGCAACTTGGCCAAAATGTGTGAGATAAAGCCTCACCGTCTTTGCTTCCAGCGAGCAATCTGGCTTCACCTCTCTAGGATATATCTGTTTGTTCTTTTGGAAGTCCATGAGATATTCAATACTCTCCTCCAATACCACAACTCAAATAAATTTTTCTTCTGTCATCCTTATTCATTGTCCAGCTTCAGATGCATAGAAGATGACTGAAGAAATCTTGGTCTGAATCAGGCACATCTTAGTCCTTAAACTAACATCATTGTTCCTCAGTAATTTGGAGAGGTTCCTAACTGCAGACTTTCCCAGTGCATTGTATCTCCTGATCTCCTGACTACTGGTGCCATGTGTATTGATTTTGGATCCAAGTGAGGTGAAGTCATTTACAGTTTCAGATTTTTCTCCATTTATCATGTTGTCATCTATTGGTCCAGTGGATAGTTATATACTAGAGGTACAGCTCAGATGCTAATAAAAATGAGAACAGCTACAGATATCCTATAATAGTTAGAACATTGAATATAACAAGTATGAATGTTGAAAAAATAGAATCAAATCTTTATGCACATCAAAAATCTTCTCCAGCATGATTAAAAGGAAACCCACAGACTGGAAAAAATTTTGGAAATAAAGTATCTGATAAGGGACTATTATATAAAATTTATATATTACTCCAACACCTCAACAAGAAAAAAGTAAACAACCCAATTGCAAAATGGGCACAAGATATGAATAGACACTTTACCAAAGACCTTCAGATGGCAAACAAATACAGGAAGAAATGTTGACGATCTCTGGCTCTCGGAGATGCGAATCAAAACAACTAGGAAATATTGTCTCACCCCAGCAACAACAGCAAAGTCCAACAGGGCAGCAAACTCCAAATGCTGGCAAGGATGTGGAGAGAGTGGAACTCTTTTTTTTTATTAATTTATTTATTTTCCATTTCAATGAACATCTACAGAGATTTTGGAATTCCATTCATTCATTGTTGCACTTGTCTCCCCCACTCCACCCCCAACCCCTGTTTGCTCCTCTCCTTGAAAAGCAAAAGAAAAACTCCTTCATTGGTACACAACCCCCCGCATACCCCCACACCAAATATAATCCACCCTGCAACCCCCATTCCATACTCTTATGATAAACATAAGAGGGGGGGTGGGGTG